ATGTCCCCACTGTCATTCCTCTGAATCAGAGGTGGGCAATTATGGAAACTTTATGGAACTGCGGACTTCAACTCCCAGAATTCCTGAGCCAGCCATAGTTGGCTCAGGGATTCTGGAAGTTGAAGTCCACAAGTTGTAAAGTTGCCAGAGTGGCCCACCATTGCTCTAGATAGTCATTTTCCCAGTTCAATGTATGGTTGTTAAACTAAACCTTAGTCCACCGTGGCACAGATACACAACATTCAAAGGCCAAGGCCTTCACTGAGATTGTCAACAAGGAGCTACACTCCCAACAGATGGAGCCAGGGTTAAGATCCGCAGCTATTATGAACTAGCTTTTGATTTGATGCCGTGAATATCATTAATCCCACGAGTTTAGTAATTCTCACATTCCAAATTACAAATCAAGGGGAATTTTTGGGACCGTGCCAAAGAGTGGAGAGCAGGGGACACAACTAGGTTTGGGCTTCAGATTTGCCCCAGTGCCTTTTGGACTTATTGATTCTGGGGAAACATGCTGTTTTATCTCAGGCCAAAAATTGACTCAGCCTGCAGGTTAAGGTAAAGAATATGAAAGTGATAGAAAACCCCACAGCTCCTTACTCTCTCCCTGTGCTACTCTGGATTTTTAAGCCATTGGATTTGAGGAAAGAGGACTGCTTATCTTTGGAGTGGGGAGACAAAATATAATGTTACTCTCCCACCCCCAACCCACCCCTTTTTCTCTCTCCAAGGCTGTTTATTACCTTCCATGCAAGAAACTCCCGTCAAAATTCATTGTCTGGTCTGGATTGCATTTAATTCTGAATGCAGAGCTGGCTGAAAGGAGGCACCCTAGAAACCTTAGCTAGGCCATCCTTAAAAACAAACAAATAAATAAACTAATCCCTCTGCCTCCCCGCTCTCTCTCTCTTATCTCAGGCTTACTTTTTCCCCCTGTTGGTTGCTGCGATTTAATTATAATTTAAATAGCTTGTAGAAACCAAAGTGATACATTGGATGAAAACAAAGAACTTGCTGCTTTCCCCACACCCTCGTTTCCGACATAATCACACCTCTCCTCTTCCCCCCCCCCAAAAAAAAAACCGTAAAAAGAAGTAAATTATGAAAGCATTGGTTTTAAAGCAACTTACTTGATCGTTTCGGAATAATTCCTCGCAGAGAAAAGTGATAAGGGGCTGAATAAGCACAGAATTATCTCCTCTGGTTTTCTTCTATTTTCAGAACTACCTGGGTGCTTCCAATAACCTCCTCCCGTCTCCCCAAAATGAGGGGAAAGAAGAGAGCAAAGAGAAATAGTAGGGAGAAATAGCCCCCTGACCTTCATTATTACCTATCAGTACCACATTGCTAAGTTAACATTTTTGTAGTGCCCAATGGCACAAGGTCACCTAGGATGGAAATTGGTTCCCAAGAGGCTGCAGTATGTCTTAAGTAGACCAGAAAGAGAGCAGAAGGGGAGAAGTCACTACAAATAAGGTTATGTGGGAATCATACAACCGAGTATAAATATAACTTTTCTATTTTGGTTAGGCTCGATTGTATATTTTGCTAGCCCTCTGTTGGTTTCAGTTGGCTCAATCCTGATAACGTTCCATGTCACTTGTGGAATTCATTCTTTTTACTACCGGTTCTGGGGGGGCGGGGCTTGGTGGGCATGGTGTGGCTTGGTGGGCAGGGCTTGGTGGGCGTGGCAGGAGGATGATACTGCAAAATCTTCATTCCACCCGACTCTGGTGCCAGCCAGAGGCGTCGTTTGCTGGTTTTCCAAACTACTCAAAATTTACGCTACCAGTTCTCCAGAACCTGCTGGATTTCACCCCTGCTCCATGTGTATTTTGGTGGACTGTTATTCCAAGTGTGCATCTTGGTAGGAACCTTGGAAGAAATGCTTGCAAGCATATATATGGACTATCTACTTTTTTTTTGTACATTTCACCCAAGAAGTGTTATTTTACTGCAACGTTTCCATAATGCAACATTTCCATAATGCGGTTTTCTCTGCACCTGTCTTTTCGTAAATGAAGATGCCTCAAAAATGATAGAACCAGGATGCTTCCAGCTGCATAGATGCAACCAAGTTATGCTACTGGGGGTCATGTTTGCTAATTGAGAAAAATCTTGTGATGGGCAAAGTTTTTGTTTAATTCATGTGGAAAGGACTGGAATTTCCCTGCAGGTTTTTGCTAGGGAGAGATTTTAGTTTTGTTGTAAGTTTCCATTTTCAACCTATATTAAGTCTAGTCTAAGACTTACCCCAAATTTTATGCCAGCAAAATTATGCAGTATTATGGAAGGCAATAGCAGTAGACTTATAGCAATAGCAGTAGACTTATATACCGCTTCATAGGGCTTTAAGCCCTCTCTAAGCGGTTTACAGAGAGTCAGCATANCTTTAGGTTTCTGAAAATATGCTGATTTTTTTAACATAGTTTTCTAAATGGTACACAAATTTCCCATTGAAGAATGGTTCGTGCTTAGCAAGTTAGAGATGGATCTATAAAGTATCTCAGATTATTTCTTTCTTCTAATCCAAGCCAAGGATTTAACTGTCATATATAGCTGTAAAAAAAAATGAGGATAGTAACGGACGTGCCACAGGTATTCAGACACAAAACATGGTTGAATACACTGAGATTTAAATCTAGCCAAAGCACTAAAATCTTTATTTATTCCACATTTTTTTTTCCTTTTGACAAATGCTGGAAGATAGTAGGGATTCAGCTTCACAGACATTTGCATATAAATCATGCATGCTAGCACTAAGCTACAGCTTCCTCCAACTTATTTTAGCGATTGCATTTAAGGAAAGTGCCAAAAGACTACACCATCCTACAGACATATTTCATAGATAACAAAAAACAGTTGGTGTTGGCCTGCTTCACTGCCAGGAACAACAGGTTATATAATGGTGGGGGGAAAGAGTCAATTAAAGAAAGCCTTGTTCAGTTAGCAGAGATGGATGAACTTTCTAGTAGTAGGTCTTAGTTGGAATCAGAATTACAGATGGTCGCAACCCCAGGAGATAGCTTAGCATCATCTTCTACTGCTGACTTGCTTGGAATCCATACTATCCACAGATTTAGCCATCTGTAGGCAAGCAAAAGGTGAGGTATCCTGGCAAAATATCCACGGAATTAGAGTCTTAGAAGTGTTGCAAAAACTTCAGGTGTATTCTAAGATGTTTAGAAAGGTGTCTTCCCTCCATTAAAATGGTTTGGTTGCATTAAATGTGTGTTGATGTAAATTCTTTCTTCTTCAATTTCTTCTGCTTCCCAGTTCACAAGCCAGTGCAAAGGTGTCGCTTAAGTGCAATCCCTAATCCTTTAGGACTCAGGGGTCGGCAACCTTAAACACTCAAAGAGGCACAAAAGTCCTAAACAGAAGCCCCCCCGTTCAATTCTGGAGCCGACTGGAAGTCCGGTTCCCCCACCATAGAGTCTCCTCCTAGAGCAGCGTCCTTTTTCCTCTGCCAACCAGAAGTCCAGTTTCCCCACCATAGAGTCTCCTCCTAGTGCAGCATCCTTCTTCCTCTACCTGTCCTAACCGAAAGCCCTATCAATTGTGGTAACCGGCAACAGGGAGCCACAGCAGAGGGATGAAAGAGCCACATGCGGCTCCAGAGCCACGAGTGGCTGACCCCCTCTTTAGGTGGCATCCCTAGGATAATTTGGAATTCTCACTCATTGAATTGGAACTGCGGAGGGTAGGAGGCAACGACTCCTTTTCTCAGCCCCCAGCTTCCATTTTCAGTGATGTTTGAAACTGCAACATTTAGAGGAAGGAGAAAGAAAGATGGTTGAATTGGCCTAGAAAGAGTTGAACAGTTGGAACTGTGGATCCGAAAGAGCCCCAAAAAACTTCAATAAATCTCCACAATCCAGGAGGAAAATTTAGATCATTTCACTGGTCATTTAATTACCTCTTTTCTCCCTATCCCAAGGCTGAAAGGATGAAGAGATGGAAAAATACTTTTGTTCCCTTTTCTATCGCATAGTTCTGTCCCCTGGTGAGTCACTTGATCTTCAGCTGCCAATAAAAGAACACTGTGCGAAAAAAAATGTAGAATTGTCCCACCTGTTTCCAGAGTAAGGATTCCTGGATTTTTCCAACAACTTGATTTGTTTTCAGCTACTTATTTATCTCCTTCTTTACTCATCTTCCTGTGCTTTTTTTTAGAAGGAAAGTTGATTTCCTTGTTCACATGTCCTTATTTTACTGAAGTCTCAGAATGATCCAATGACTCAAGCTGAGTCAAGAAGTAGCAACTGACCTCAGAGTCACACAATGAATTTTATGGCCCACTGGGACATAAACCTAGGTTTTCCTGTTCTATGCACAATACTTCTATACTACACGCTCAGAGACATTTAGTAATGGAGAAGAATACATCAAGAATCCACAACTGTTTTACTGTTAAATCAATGGATTTTTTAAAAAAAAACAAATTCCCTTGAAAGGACCAACAGAATACGAAAGCTGTCATGGATGCTTCCCTCAGCAAATTCCCAGGACATCGTACACAATGAATTCACGGAAACTAAGCAGCTACCAGTTCATCGCACCAATGGCTGGCCTGATCTTGTTCCACGGTGGAAGAAAGCCAGGATATAAACTTCCCAAATGAAATAAATAATTTGTGTGCCATGGGTGCCTTTCTTTGCTGATCCAGTAGTTTTACACTTATCTATAATTTAAAACAAAGCAAGGATTAACTGAATGGCTGATCCAGCAATTTTCTCCTTCTCCCTGCAAGTGACTAAAAATGTTTTTGTTGACACGTAGAAAATTACTGGAGGAACTTGGTATTTTACATGAGTTCCATATTGCAATTTATTCCTGTGCATCGGACTTCTGCAGTATCTAACATCCAGCTTCATCTCTGTTTATCTTCTGTTGTGTTTTTAATCTCTTGTCTTATCTTCTTCCATAAAGGTGAAGTTTGATTTCTCCATGTACATCATCTTAACCCTGGTGTTTTCTTTGTCGTTACTCCACAGGTGGGCCAAAAAGGGCCACATTATAAAGGAAGCATCAAGTGATGCTTATGAGACCATTGTTGACTTCACCTATTTCTTTGAACCCATCTCTTGTGAGGTGACCAATGCTCTGGGCAGTACCAACATCAGCAGAACGGTCGATGTCTATTGTAAGTATGGCTCAGCTGTTGATCTACTAGAACTGTAGAAAGAATAGACCAGACACCCAGCCCTTGCTTATCAATGGTGACCGAGTGCAGCAAGTGGCCAGTTTTAAGTTTCTGGGTGTTATCATAAAAGAGGACCTGATCTGGGGCAACTCACATTACAGCTCTGGTCAAAAGGGCCCAGCAGAGATTATTATACTACCTGAGACTTCTCAGGAAACAACTGAATGAAAAACTGCTGGTGGCCTTCTACTGCTGCACCATAGAGAGTATTTTAATTTACTTCCCCCATGTATGGTTTGCCAATTGCTCAATGGCAGATAGGACAGGGCTCCACAGGGTTAACGTCATTGCCCAGAAGATCATAGGTTGCCCTCTCCCCTCTTTGGAAGAGCTTTATAGCTCCCGCTGCCTTAAGAAAGTTCAAAGCATTCTTAAAGATCCATCTCATCCTGGGCACCCTTTTTTTTTAACTATTACCATCTGGCAGACGGTACAGGACAATAAAAACAAGGCCAAATAGGCTGAAAAACAGAACAGTAACTATATTGAATTGTACTGTATAGTGCGAAATTGATGCAATATCAGGGGTTTTCAATTCAATTGTATGGAATGCGAAGGTTGTGTGTTTCTGTTTGATTTTTATAGCTATAATGTACACCGAAGATGGCACTTAATTTCATTGTACGATGTGCAATGACAATAAGTAAATTAAACTGAACTAAACATTGCTCAACACACTTAACACCTTGTGTTGGAGGGGGGGTGTTGCAGGGAAAAACTGGCCATGGGGATGCAACTTTTTAAAAGAAGCATTAAAGCTTATTTTAAAAAATGAGATAGTCTGATTTAAAAAAAAAAATAACAAAGTCAGAAAATGAGAGCCGTGTGCCAAAAATAGTTGATCCTAATAACAATAATTTCCCTAATCCACAAAAGCAAGAATAATTCATTCAAAATCAGTGCTTGAGCTGTGATGTTTATTTGGGGTTCTTTCTTTTTCATATTTGCTATGATGACTATTTTAAATTTGAGAGGCTAGCCCAGTGTTTCTCAGCGTTGGCAATTTGAAGATGTCTGGACTTCAACTCCCAGAATTCTGGGAGTTGAAGTCTGGACATCTTCAAGTTGCCAACGTTGAGAAACACTGGGTTAGCCTGTCCTGCAACAATTATTATTATTTTTTAAACATTTCAGTTGGGCCACGCATGATGACGGAACCACAGTCTCTTCTTGTGGATCTTGGATCCGATGCCGTATTTAATTGTGCCTGGATTGGAAACCCATCTCTGACCATCGTTTGGATGAAAAGGGGCTCTGGTGTGGTAAGAATGATGTTGCACGCTTATTGATGCCTTGCTGGTCTACCACTCCCCATGAACCTTCTTACTCTTACTCTTTGTGTCAGGGAAAGTCTCCATAACTTTATCAAAAAGGCACGTGACTTTCAATAGGTAGAGTATTTTTAAAACATTCAACTCCTCTTCCGTGATCTAAAGGAGGAAAGGAAAGTCCCAAAGAGACTAGCTGTGTTTTGATTCATTACTGGTGGGATTCCACCTTCTATGGAGAGGAGAAGCTTCACACTCTAGAATGTAAAATAGAATGGAGCTGAAAGGGACCTCAGGGGTCTTCTAGTCCAGCCCCATGCTCAAGCGGGAGAACCTATACCATTTCAGATAAGTGACTGTCTAGTCTCTTCTTAAAAATGGAGCATTCACAACTTCTGAAGGCAACTTCTGTTCCACTGGCTAAGTGTCCTCATTGTTAGGAAGTTTCTCCTTAATTCCAGGTTGCTTCTCTCCTTGATTAGTTCCCATCCATTGTTTCTTGTCCTGCCCTCAGGTGCTTTGGAGAATGTAGACCTACAGGGTTGATTTCCAAGCTGAGCACTAGGGAATTGCAGGAAAGGAAGTCATACTTGGGATTGGAATAGAGAAGCCGATTCTGCTCCACCTGGGTTCTCCACTCACCTATGGAGACTTCCTCAAGACACGTCCATCCTACAAAGTAGACCAGACTGAGATATGAATGCTTGATAAGTCAGGACTGCCTTTATTGTTACAGCTACAGAAAGAGAATTGTGCAAAGCTCAGTGTGCTTCCTCCTGCCTGGCTTTCTCTTCATACGAAATAGGGGCTCATCTGAAATGTTTTCTCAAGTTATTTTCTTGGCCAGGACTCCAGTCCCTCTTATCTGACTATTGCCTTAGCAGCAGCAATTCCTCCTGTCCTTCAAGGGCATTCCCTATGCTCCCTACAACAATGTCAGAGTATATTCATAGACTGGAATAGGCAACAAGGTCAGCCAATGAATAGACATGGCAACTGGGTCAGCCAATGAGGGCTGTTTGGAAACTGAAACAGTATTTGCTGGAGACAGCTAGGAGCCTGGATGTGTCTTAGTTTAGAATAGAATAGAATAGAATAGAATAGAATAGAATAGAATAGAATAGAATAGAATTATTTGTATGCTGCCCTTCTCCGGGAGGACTCAGGGCGGTGAACAATTCAAGGGGGAAAAAAGGGGAACATAAAAAACAAAATACAAATAATAAAAGTAAACAACAGTCGCACAACCATACATGTCGAGAGGGGATGGAACTCATCACCCCCAGGCCTGCCGGCAAAGNGGGTCCTCATTTTACCCACCTCGGAAGGATGGAAGGCTGAGTCAACCCTGAGCCGGTGAGATTTGAACCGCTGAACTGCTGATCTAGCAGTCAGCTGAAGTAGCCTGAAGTGCTGCATTTAACCACCGCGCCACCTCGGCACACTTTGAAGACTTCAAGCATGGGGTTGGATGCTGGAGGTGGCTGCAGAAATTCTGGTTTTCCACCCTTCCTTTAAAGAATGAAGAGATGGCTTCACTTAGTGACAAGGCCCGTGTTTTGAAAGTAGTCCACCACATCAGTCAAGATGTTATTGGTGCTAAACTTGACATATATTAAGAAAAATATCTCACGTTGGCCAAATTTCACATAGCTTATTGATGTCCAACAGTCCTGAAACTCACCCTTAAATCTTAAAGGTAAAAGTTCCCCTGGCACATATGTACTAGTTGTTCCTGACTCTAGGGGGCAGTGTTCATCTTTGTTTCAAAGCCAAACAGCTAGTGCTCTCCGAAGACGTCTCTGTGGTCATGTGACCAGCATGACTCAATGCCGAAGGCGCATGGAACTCTGTTACCTTCCCACCAATAGTGTTCCCTATTTTTTCCTCTTGCATTTTTACATGCTTTCAAACTTGCTAGGTTGGCAGAAGCTGGGACAAGTAATGGGAGCTCACTCCGATATGTGGCGCTAGGGATTCGAATCACCGAGCTGCCGCCCTTTCTGATCGACAAGCTCAGCATCTTACCCACTGAGCCACCGCGTCCCTACTTAAATCTTAAGACCATATAAAATACTGAATTCTGAATACGGCTTGCATATATTGCTTAAAAGAATCCCAGATACCATCAAGTCCTCAAAAGTCAGCCGATGAAGCCATTAGGACCCACAATTTAATTCCTGTCCACCATGGCCAGCTCAAGAAGAAACTTCGCTCCTGCGCAATTCCAAAAAATGTTGTTTCTTTTCTCCTCCACTCCCTTTTTGCAAACAACAAAGGGCCTTTAATCCTTTTCCTTTATCCCCATCAATTAGGATTGCCCATTGCCTTTATGTGTAAGAAAATCCTTTCCCCAGATGGAAATAAAAGAAATCTTGACATCTTATAAGAAATCCATTTTGATGCAAGCTTCTGCCAATCCAGATAAACAGTGCAGGGGGGTGGGGAGCAGGGGGGGGGAGACCCTTGATATTTGCCAGTAAGAAAGATATTATTGTGCGCTGCCCAGATGTAATAATAAGGATAAATGTCTATTGCCAGGAAGGATAGCTAGAACGCAATCAATTTGCTGCCAAGCATCCTTTCCACTGATAATTCTTCCCCTGTTTATATCCCGCATGTTAGACAGTGATGTTAATAAAGGAAACCTCCACAAACAATCCAAGCTAATGCACAGAAGGAAGAAAAACTGAGAATTGCCCCAGCAGTACAGAAGCAACAATCGAGGAAGCAGAAATAATATCTGTTTACCCACAAACATTTATGGCTTTGTTCAATGCGTGTAAAATCCATTTCCAGTAAGCAGAAACCCCTTCAGCTCAGGGAAAAGGTTCAGATCTTCTGCTCTACCCTAGAGGGTTGTTAGCTTGTTTGTTTTAAATCAGGGGCTCATAACTCAGGCCAGAGATCCAGATACATGAAGGGCTCTGTTAATCTTTTGTCTATATTGATCAACATTGGAGACTTAGTTAATTGGTATTCAGCCGGTTCGGACCAATTCACCCAAACCGCTAGTAGAAATCGTGAGTGGGCCTGCCCACCCACCCCGGCTCTATACCCTCCTATTTAGGCACATTTTCAGGCCAAAGCACATGGGGGAAGGCTGAGCGCATGCGTTGACGGTTCACATTTGAGAACCGATAGGGAAAGTAAGTGACTACCACCCTTGGTTAATAGAATACCTCGTTGTACAACATCTTGTCAAGACAATGGCATGTCCTTTTATCTTAAACATCCAGACTCTACCATCCCCATTTCAAGCGAGACAGTTGTGTGATAAGCACATCTTGGCTCTTAGATGTGCAACAAAGACAGGGAACAAGGAAATGTAAGCTGTATTCAGCTCTTCTTCTCATATATGTAAGCCCTCCACTCGAAGTAGGAGAAGATAAATTACCATGCTAAGCTTCCCTCCTCATTCACTGCGCCTAGGCTTCTAAACTCTCAAAATGAGAAATTCCAGAGATTGAGAAGACTTTCACTGAGAAATTAAGGTAAAGGTTCCCCTCACACATTTGTGCTAGTCATTCCCAACTCTAGGGGGCGGTGCTCATTTCTGTTTCAAAGCCGAAGAGCCAGCGCTGTCCGAAGATGTCTCTGTGGTCATGTGGCCGGCCTGACTAAATGCTGAAGGTGCATGGAACGCTGGTACCTTCCCACCAAAGGTGGTTCCTATTTTTCTACTTGCATTTACGTGCTTTCGAACTATTAGGTTGGCAGAAAATGGCAAATTAGTGCATCCCTATTTTGCACATTAGAACATATGGAACATTTTGCATTTAGTAATAGAAAAGCTTCCTAGATTTCATTCATAATTCTATACCATGAAAACAGTGCAGAATTCTGGGCATCAGATAATCAATTGGTCTATTGATCAAGGTGCTGTCCTAGAAACCGGGAGAGTGTGAGTTCTAGTCCCGCCTTGGTCATTCTTAGACCAACCACCTTTACAGGGTTGTTATTGTGGGCGGAAAAGGAAGGAGAAATGAATATTCAGTATGTTCACTGCCTTGAGTTACTTATAAAGTAATAAAGGTGGGATAAAAACAATCTAGTAAATAAATAAATAGGATCCAACTCGCTATTCCTCCTTAATAGATGCATTTTATGATTGGGAAAACATAAACCATCAGCAGTAAAATACAGATAGGCAACAAATGAAAGCCAATTGGGTCTATTGGGTTCAATTCAATTGGGAAAGCCAATTGGGTCAATTGGGTTAAATTCAACAGTATATTATTTTAATGCAGGTTTCCTTCATTTCACCTGTTCAAACCAGTCTACGTGTTTAAAACTCAGATTTTAAAATCTGCCCTTTTCTAAATATTTCTGCTGCCATTATTGATGTGATTGGGATTAAATCTGGTTTTTCATTCAGGAGCTGAAGTCTGTACAATTTAAAAAGTTCACCAAAATGACCATACGTATTAGAGAAAATAAGTGAACATTCATTATGTCAATAAATACTGATAGCAAAGTGCACACAGATGTATAAATGCTTATACAAATACACTACACTCACACAGACAGACACACACACACACACGGATACCCAAACACATGCAGAAATGGGATAAAGGAGAATTAAGGCTGGAAAATTAAGAAGACCAAAAGAAATCAACATTCAAATTTATCCCTAACTAGATTTTTTTATTTTTTGGAAAAAAATATATCTGCAGATATGACAAAATGATTGCACAATTATTATTATTCGCAACAACATAATTGTATCACAGCGGCCAGTTGTTTTGCCGGATTTGGCATTGGTTACTAGTCGGGCCCCACCTAGGGCCTAGGACGTCGTAACGTATTTTCATAATATGCGTGCAGATCCAAGCAGTGCGGCTTTTTGCATTTGACTGGTGGTGATTTTGTCAATTTTTAACTGTTTTAACTGTAATTCCAGTGCTTTTGGAATAGCACCCAGTGTGCCAATTACCACTGGAATTACCACTGCTGGTTTTATAATTATATAATAATTATTATATAAAATA